CATTTTCGCGCTCAAATCGCCAACGTGGACGAGCTTCTCATCCGTAGTTCCGATGGGCTTCACACATATGAGCTTTACCGTCCCCAATTTTGCCCTTCCTCTCTAGAAAGAGCAAGATTCCTTGGGGATCAGCTTAAAAAAGGTTTTGCTTCCTACTGGTTTAGGTATTGTGAAGTTGACTGCCAAAAACGCATAGGAACGGTTTTACCTTTTTGTCCTATGAGGTTGAATGTCTGAGCCATACAAGCTAAATAAACTCTCGATAGTTTAAAAGAGGGAGGATACTGTAGGGTATGGTTGTTTTACCAGTTCCTCACGGTTTAGGGACACAAAGGTGTTAAGAACGCGTTGAATGCCGCTCCATTCGGAAACAGTAACCCGTTCCACAACTATGACACGCGTAAGAAAGGCAGAGCTGTAGCTATACAACATGGTAACCAGACCAGAACTGTTTTGTGAATAACATTACTACTTCTCGATTACCTGTAAAGTAAACCGGTTTGTCCAGAAGACCCTTTGGAATGGCTCCAACTTTGATCTTTGTCGGGTCATAGGCTCGACATGTGAAAGGAATAGCGGTCACTGGGACGCCACCGTATTTCACCTCGATATCATGGTCACCTAAAATAATACACTTCTGTTATAGTCAGATAAAACTATTGTTACCGTATAGTTGAGTAGATCACCAATAAATCGATATTACTTACCGACCACCTGCGGAGTGAAGTTCACCTGCATGACTCCGGGTTCAATTTCAATGATTTCCGTGCCAATTTGGTTCTTTTTATTATCTAAAAAATTTAATTTTTACAAATGTAAAAATACATTTTTTGAATATTTAAGCCCGAATCAAGTTTTTTTTTCAACATTCGCACGCACAAACACACACTTTCACGAGGGACATGGGACAAGGAACGAACGCTGAACTTACTTGTAACATTCAACGTTTATACTAAAACTGAAACAAAGACACACAATTAGAATTACAGTACGGAAAACGAACTAACATGTAAACAGAAAACAAATAAACAGAAAATACCTTGGGATTAGGTGTTAGGTAAAAGAGTATCGTACCAGTAATGATGATCTCTAGTTGATCGTGCCCGGCAACCTCGATAATGATGCTTGACGGTTGACCAACTCGGGACAATGAGGGAATCTTTGTCACCGACGTCTTCGACACGGATTTATGCTTGCTCTGAAAATCAATGGATCGATAAAAAGGTGAACGGGCGGTTAAATGTGTGAAGGAATGACGATTTTAATGCTCGGTCGGTTAGACAACCTTATTCTACCCGAATGGCTGAATGAAGACGAGCTTCTTGAATAACTACTAACTAAAACTAGTAGGTACATCGGTATTACTAAGAGACGTTTTGCTTGTTTAAATAGAAAGAACGAACTTCGATGTCATCTTAAATCATATATATCTGAGCAACCAATCACGCGGCTGAGTTGTGCACGTGCACATGCACGCGATTGATTACTTAGATATGCATGACATATCGTGCACGTTCCAGCGTACAAATTTCAAACGATTCTTACTTTAACGGAGTTTTACTGTTTTACTTCTACCTTACTATTTACTGGTGTTCTGCTCATAGAATTCTCGAGCAAACCTCATGTCTCATGTTTTAGGGAGATGGGCGTTAGGAACGATTTGGGATAATCGATTCGCCGCACGCGGCTGTCGCGGACCACTCATACGCCGTTATTACATCTCTAGCGTTCCTCATACAGCTCAATTGATATGCGATCATTATTTTATGAATAATTCTACTATTAGTACTTTTGTTCTTGTATTTCTTACCTACTGCTGCATCCTGCTACATTCCTTCGCGCGCGACGCCCCTCTCACCATGACGCGACCATTTCGTTCCTAACACGCCACACCCCATGTTTTATTCGGATGAATAATCAGCGACATTGATCAAATCAATTAGTAATTTCAACAATTGATTAAATCATAATATAATATAACATGTTATCATGCAGTATTACCTAAAATATAAGGCAACATGATTCGTACGGCTGCGGCACCAAGTTAACCAGAGAATTGCCTGATATAAGCAAATTACCAAGAGGATTTTTTCGCCAAACATGGTCCTCTTCGAAGACTAAGAGCTACGGAAGACATGAAACTCCTCAAAATAACCCTCTACCACCACCATCCTAATTGAGAACTACTAAGTCGATGAATCAGTCTGCGGTTGACCTTCAGTGGTTGGGTAAGGTTCCAGAAGCCGGACGGAAATAATATTCTTCATTATCAACAACTGGAGTGAAAGAAGATTCCGTAAAATATGCAAAATTACGGTATTTAATCAGAAAAGTTGAACTAGTAATGTAAAAGGTGCCAGTAAAGAGAGAACACAGCGAAATCTCGTAGTGTAGGTCTGCTTGTAATGATGTAGATGAATCGAAATGGTATGAGAGGGCGGGTTTAATTGAGGAACATCAGAGATGATAAAGTGTTTCGATTGCTTTATGATTCATGAATGATAGGATGGATGGAAAGGGAAACGACAAGTCAAGAACAAAGAATGCAAACAGGGCGGCGGAATCTGATGGGGCTGTCTGCCTGTGCGTGAACTGCTGACACAACAAGCGACAGTGACAAGTCAGTGGAACCTTACAGGCACCCATCATGATAAAGTGAATAGAATCTTGTGGAATGTGGATGAACCTTCCGGAAAGACCAATTTCTGCCAATTTGACTACTGAAATGTTCCAAAAGGGAATTCAAAAGCACAAAGTGCTTTGCGAATCCCGCCCACATTGCAGAAATTTGTTATCGGGAGACCCAGAGTCATAAATCACTATTTCTCCTATAATAATGATACGGAAGAACCTATAGGTTATGATGGCCATGAAACATTCGAAGTACTGTGGGAAAACTTCGTACTACAAGCCTCAGGCAGCCAGGAAACTCGTCCACACAGTCTGCCGCCTACAATTTCGGCATAACTCGTCTGTTCCGTACACTTGGAAACGTTCTCTTTAAGGAGTCTAACAAAAGTACGTCCGAATAGTTGCATCAAGAAGGAATGCACGCTATATTCCATTGATGATGCTGCTTTTGAAGATTGGCCCCGAACTTACGAGCCAATCGTACACGTTATTGCTTTGGAGTAGTTTGTTGGCGGAGGTACGGGTATTAGTTGATACTTGGCACAGAAAAGTGTAAGGAGAAAAAACATGATTTCTTAGCTTGCTGCTTCGTTGGCATAGTAGTTCCGTGGCATTTTATACTCGTTTGTCGCCGACGGTTTATATCGATTACCTGCACGACTTCTGCCTTAAAGATCGCGGCACGTGCACGTCGTACACATGCACGGACACAGTATCTCAGCTAAGCATCATACTGAACTGTAGTTTTTTTCATTTTTGGCCAATAAAAAAGGATTAATCGGTGAATTTCACCAGAGAAAGAGCATATTTGATTCATCTGTGCCTACAACTCAACTTCAGCTTTCAGTAAAAATGAGTAATTAAAGTTTCAAGTTATTTTCGGAGGGTATCCCGAAGTCGTCAAAGCATTACCGAGGATAACTACCCAGGCTCTAGTTTTAGCCCTTTCTGATTAACACAATGGAAAAACTGAGTTGCATACCCTCTTATCCTTTTTCAAAGTAGCAGCTCTTTCTTCTTTTTCTCGTTTCACACGCTCCTTTTCCTCTTTCTTTTTATCCTCCTTCTCTTTTTTCGTGTCCTTCTTGGACAAAGACGGCGATGCTGATCCGTCGGCCGTGTCATTGAGAGGAGCCGGAGGATCCGTGATGAGCACTTCGAACGGAGAATCTGAATCAGACAACTTCTGCTGTGTTACGCACATTCACCCTACTTTTCACTACTTTGCTGATAAAAGGCTCAATTACTACTTAAAGATTTAGGCCAATCCTTACTTTTAAGTACTTCCTTGTTAAATGTGATATTGACGGTATGCTGTCCTTTGGATGTCGGTGTGAAAGTGACAAGGAACTTGGCGGTACCGCTTTCTAACTGTGCGACATGTGATGGGATAATGATTCCATCAGCGTCTTTGATAGCCATTTCAAGATTACCAAAACCAGCTCGACCAGCATCCACTGGAATCGATAAAGCAGAATGATAGTCGTTGATAATTGTTTATAGATAGCTGTAAAACGGGAATGGGGACTAACCAGTGAACTCAACGGTATCGTTGAGATTCGACCGACCCGGAATTTCGCCGACAATGATTTCCGAAGAATCATATACTCGGATTGGGAACGGTGACAATGGATGTGGAATTTCATTTACATAGGCGAATACCTAAAAGTATAAATTACTATACAAAATTTTGTAAACGATTTTCAAATCCAGTAAATTCAGTATACTCGGTGCTACGAGAGTTAGAAAAGAAGTTGTTTCTGGGGAACGGAAAACGGAACTACAGTAATCAATGACCGAAGAGCTCGGAGCAAAATGATTACACGTACAAGTCAGTAACATTCATTATCAAACGTCTATTCGGACGATCTGGATTGAAATCCTTTCATTTCTTTTCAATAGAGAGAAAACTCTGAACGGTCGGTCGGTCTATGGGGCACGACCAATGGGATCGCGGGCAGCAACAGGTAGTCCCGCCCACCGCATCAAACGCCGAGACATCAGTCATATTAAAATTGAACTAATTCTCGAGGGAAGAACTGGAATTGGTCATGAGAAAACATCTATGGAGTGAGCACACCATTCTACTGGGTACATATTTTGCTGCGCAAAAACGGCCTCTAAGGCGAACGATGACGGTTAGATCCCAGAATCCACGAACAAAGGAAAATTTTGTGCCCGGGCGAAGCTCCCCTGGTTTTTCCCTGGAACCTTCCGAAAACGGTTTACCTCCTGGAATATACACCCAATTTACTGGTACCGAACATATGACCCTGCTAGGATCTTAAACACGACCCCATTTTCAGCTTTAGCGACGTCGTAGGATGTGGGCGGGGCTGTCTGCTGCTGCTCAGTTCCACCCTCAGTAAGCTTTCTTCTGCTCATTTGTTACCAAGCCAGTAAGCCTGTTCAAAGTCATTCACAGAGCGTAGGGTACCTTTAGGTCCTGATTGTTAAGTGGTGTTTTCATCATCGGGAGAAAGGCTTCAATTGTTTACAGCAACTGGTTTACTGTACTCGATAGACTGATGAGGTTATTACCGTACCAGTACATAGCTGTGGTTTGAGGGTGTTCAACTCAGGCCGCAGTCAGTTTCAAGTATTGACGAAGGCGTACAAGCCTGCGGTGTGAAAACTGGTTACCGCTAGGTGATAGCGGAGTTTGAAAGGTGCGACAAAGTTTTTTTTACTGCCACAACGAAAGCGAAGAATCGTAAACCAGTCATACCTTATGTGTTCCAACTTCTGTAGGCTTGAATGAGATCTCATACTTGCTGCCGCTTTTTTTCACTTTCGTTTCCACTTCTGGTTGAGTGGCACCCGATGCAACAACTTGATTACGCATGGGAGCTGAAATCGGGTCAATAAGGGCGAGGATCACGTGGGCAACTGGGAGGAATCTACTACTTGTACAGTAACACTTACGCAGTACTACAATACGCAGTGAATCCTCCTTGCCAAGTTTGAGATTTTCTAGTTTTACCTGAAAATAGTTGCATTTTAGGAAATAAGAATAAGAAATAAATAAATTCATATTGAACGCGGCAAGAGACTGATCGATATCAGCTGCCGCGCGCGGTCACGTAGCGGTCCGGGAAATGATCCAATCGATAAAGGGCCCCATTCACATAGTTTCTTCGCTATTCAGCCAAGTTTTCTGGATTTTCTCAGAGAAATATATTTGTGCTATATATGCAGTATTTGTACTATGTTCTCTGAATCGGTAACCGTCAAACTTGTTTACAAAACAATTACTGTCAAGAAAAAAAGTTCAGGAGGAAATGAAAGATGTGCGAAAGCCTGAGATGATTGTTTACTCAGTTCGAGATTGTGCTAACTTTGACCCCTATAAGACCCCTACGTTTCCCACAAAACAACCGTTTGTGACAAAAACTTTACTATTTCGATAAAAGTTCATACCTCAACATCCTTTCCTCGTTTGACGACTTCGTGCTTTGAGCTGAACTTGCTCTTGCCGAATTCGAACGGTTTCACTTCCTTGCCATCCTGGAATCAGTAAGTTGATCAACTCCAAAATAGTAATTCCAAAGTAATCTTCCAAAATAG